GGCATCACCAGGTTTCTGATTAGACCCAGAGACACTTTCTCATAATAATATTTTTCCATTTAATTGGGCAACGTGACCTGACCAAGGAGGAGGGAGTATTCGATGCTTTTACTATGTGGGGTTGCGTGGAGTTTTGCCAGAGCTGGTTTTGCTTTCATACATGCCGAAATGATGTACTCAAGAAAGTTTTACATTAAGACAGTGGTTCTCAACCTGTGGGTCGGGACCCCATTTGGGGTCGATCGACCATTTCACGGGGGTCGCCAAGCAAGGCTGTTTGCCATTTTTTTTGTCCGCCATTTTTTTTGTCTGCCATTTTTTCCCCTTTTCCGGTGGGTGCCTTACCTCCCTTGGGCTGGGCCAGCTGGTGGTCGGCCTGCTCTGTCTCTGCCACTTGCCAGCTACGCCTCGGCCGGCGCAGGGGGCGGAACCACACATATGTGGCGCTCCCGGGCAGGGAAAGTCCTCGACTTACGACCGGTTGGGCAGTCCTCGACTTACGACCGATTCAGTCCTCGACTTACAACCGGTTTAGTCCTCGACTTACGACCGGTTTAGTCCTCGACTTACGACCAGTTGGGGTCGCGGCATTAAAAAGGTTGAGAACCACTGCATTAAGAGATCAGAATGTCTCGATGTTTGCTTGGTTGGGTTCGTCAATCAGAATCTTGACACTAGAGGTCCATGAATTAAGATTTTTAAGTTATTTATGGTATGATCAGGTTAAAGCAAATGTTGATTATAATAATCACTTTGTTTGACGTGCCATCCTCAGAATGTGAAAGAAATATAAAATAAGGTTCTCTAGGAAGATGCCTCTTTGGCTGTCTCCCCAGGAACTCTTTTTAAGAAAAGAAATGGTGGCGAGGCCAGACGGGTGGACTTATGGTCAAATAATATATTTCAATTATGGTAACCTTATCCTGAAATCTAAAGAGAAGTTGGAATCAGAAGAACGTGTTTGCCATTGGTTTGCATATTTACAATTGAAAGAAAGATTTAAACTAGACAAAAAGAGCTATGGATTTTTCCTGCACCTTCATAATTACAGGAAGTGCTGACATGTGGTCACTGAATAAGTGCTACAAATTTATGGACCAGGTGTATGTCTGCTTTCACAGTGCCATTGTATCTTCGAACGCTCAGGGAACAAATGGTAACTGAGGACTATACAAACTGAACACCTGAAAAGGTTCCTCCTTAGCTATTTTTTAGTTGAACCTGGTTAGTACATGGATGGGACACCAATAGGAAGTACCGTGCTTGTTGGCTAGATATGAAAGTAAAAAATAAAAAATCTCATAAGATGCAGTGGCAGACCAGCCAATAAAACAACAGGTCCATAACACAACAACACAGTTGAAAGGGACCTTAGAAATCTTCTAGTCCAGTCCCCTGCTCAGCCAGGAAGACCCTCTACCATTCCAGAAAAATTGTTACCCAGTGTGTTCTTAAAGGTTCCTGACGAGCCTGACAATTTTGTCATCCAAAAGGTAGAGGAGGGAATTAGAGGGTTAGCTATACTGGAATTAATATTTACTAAGAGAGATGAAATGAAAGAGCAACAAACATATTTGGGAGCTTGAGATTAAAACACAAAGAACAGTTGCAGGAATTGGGTATGTCTAGTCCAGTGGTGGGGAACCTATGGCACGGTTGCGAGAGGCGCCATGTGCAAAAAAAAAGAGAGGTTCAATCAGTCAATTTCAACTTCTCGCAGGAAAAAAAAAAGATCTTGCAAAGTTGGAATTGATTGATTGAACTTTTTAGTCCCACCCAGTCTGCCGCTACCACCGCAGCCACGCCCACCCATAGGCCACACCCATCCAGCACTCAAGGATGCATAAATGGGTTTTGGCTTGCAGTTTGGGCACTCAGTCTCTAAAAGGTTCGCCATCACTGGTCTAGTCTAATGTAAAAAAGGAGTAGGGATGGCATGATAGCAGTGTTACAATATTTAAGAGGCTGCCACAATGAAGAAGGGGGGGGGGGGTCAGCCTATTTTCCTAAGCACCAGAAGGGAAGACAAGAAACAATGTGTGGAAACTAATCAAAGAGAGAAGCAACCTAGAAGCAAGGAGAAATTTCCTGGCAGGGAGAACAATTAAC